AGTGGATAAGACACATGCCTTTGGCGTGAGAGACCTGGGTGCAAATCCACTGTGAGACACCAATATGTCCCTGAGCACGACACGTAACCCCTCGTTGCTCCAGAGGCGTGCAACCTCTAATATTTAGCAATTGTAAGTCACTTTGGATAAAAGTGTCAGCTAAAAATGTAATAATGCTTCATTATATATAGACATTCTGCCTAAATGATAAAATAACTTTTGGTTCTTGTAGCTGATTTCACACTTTTATGTAAGTAGCAGTGAATGCAAGATTTTTACTTAGAGTAGCTAAGGAAAAATTATCTAAATGGGCATCTGATGACTGACCATAGAAATCAATCAGCCCCAGTGAAAACATTTTTTAATAGAAGTAAATTAAATAAATAAGTCTTGTTAAAGTATGGGCATATTGTCTTATCTTCATTTTTGACTTATGTCTCCTTCACACCTCTACTGTCTGAAATGTAATTACAGGGTTGAATGCTGCACATGCACTACTTACAGTGTTTTCTAAAACAGACATTTTGCTTCCGACAAGCCCAAGTGAGACACGTTAAGTCCAAAATGAGAATAAATTTAAAAAGGTTTTTTTTTTTTTGAGAAAAGGTTTTATAGCCCATATTGAGCAATAACGAGCGGTACAGTCATGCAGGCCCACAGCAATACACAGACACATGCACACTCCCCTCTGCCTCTTCATCATAGGATGTGACACCTGACGGTCCATTAGTTCCCAAAGTGCTATTCTATTTTATGAATATCTCTCCTTATAGAATATTTAGACTCTGTGTGTTTCCCTCCGCTTGTCAACATGGGATGCATTATTCATGTTAATGTGCCATTATCTGACGCTCTGCATGATGTAACGCAGCCATTCCCTGGACCCGCACCCACAAACACATCCAGTGACCTTATGAACTGTGTACTGCCATCACCCTGCCTGCAGCGCTGAACCAGCTCCGCTTCATATAATACAATGAGCGAGAGGAAATTTGTACCTTGCAGAGGCTTTATTGCACAATTAAGATGTGTGCTTACTAAAAGCATAGCTACATTGAAGATAACAAAAGATTTGAGGTTTTAATACAGCTTGGGTGCATCAATAACTGTGCACCTGCAACACCAGCTTTTAAGAAAAAGATAGAGAGCAGCAGAGTGAATTTAACCAGCTTTTAATTATGCAATTAAAAAGGTATGTCTGTGTTGGAGATAGAGTGATGTATCCTAACTGTATGCTTCAATTTAAGAGAGATATGACACAAGGGAGAAAAGAGAGGGAATTTGAGTTAACAAGCCTTTGGTGCAATTAAAAGATAAGTCACAGCCTGCCTGCATTTGAGATAGAATGAGTGAATGATTTAGAGTTATAATATGCCTTTTGTGGTATGCCTGAGTTTGAGATAGAGAGAAGAAAGGGAAAATAGACTTTTAACAAGCTACAAGAAGGTAAGCTTACAGAACACACATGTTTGAGATGGGGAGAAAGTAGGAGAAAAAGGGAGTAAAGTGGGACACAGGGTACATTTAAAAAACATTTTTTTTGGGGGTGGGGGGGTTAAAATACACTTATTTGTTGTCTTGCAGTTGAGTTAGATGAGAAGATTGTCACCACTCTTATGGGACAAATATGTAGCAGTTGGTTAGTTTAGCTTAACTTACCGTTGAGTAAAGACTGGTAGCAGAGCGAACCAGATGGCCTAGCTCAGCAAAGGTAACAAAAATCTACCTAACATCACCTCTGAAGTTCACCATTTAACAGATTTGTTACATGTTTTACAGGTACAGGTGGATTTTGTCACCAGGCTAGCTGTTTCCCCACCTTTGATGTCTTTATGCTATGCTAAGCTAACCAGCTGCTGGCTCAAGCGACATATCTACTGTACAAACATTAGTATCGATCTTCTCACGTAACTCTCGGCAACTGAATATGTGTATTTTTTTATTCCTTTAAGCTAATAATAACAATTTAGGTATGGTATTCGAAGGTAGAAGTGGTGTTTCAAAATAAAATAAAACAGGGCAAAGAAGAAAATTCAGTAGACTGCTCTGTCCTTAAGTGTGAATGTCTGCGCTGCACTGAACTTCCAACTTGTCAGAAAAGTGTCTTGCAGTGCATGCTGGGATGGCGGCCACCATCCCTACCACCCTGACAAGGATTAGACAGGTGGAGAAAATTAAAGACTGAAACCGTCTTCTCAGTCATCAAACATAAATATTGTTGCTTTGGAAAATGGTGTGCACTTTCTATTTGACGAGCCAATAAATGAAAGGCTTTTCAAAACTAATTAACGTGAAGGCTTGGCTGTTCCACGATATTGACAGTGGCTTTATAGGCTGGTGTGGGTTGATGCACAGGTTATTTTTAAGATACCAGACAAGCACAATGCATAATTTATCACACCAAAGGATAACCCTCCCAAGCTGGTGAATAAAGGAAGTAATAAGGGCAGCGAGGTGTGCAGCTGAAATGACTGATAATGCTTTACAACCGATTCTAAATAGAGTAGATGAAAAAAAAAAAGTCCTGTTTGCACATCATCTTAAAGGGAAGTGTAATTATCTGTCAGCCAATCAACACCTAGCACCCACTTCCAGTGTCTGACCTTGCTGGACTCGTAACCATGGAAATTTTTGTCTCTTTCTCTGATAGAGCAAGGCCCGGTCATACAAAAACCTGTTTGTGTGCATGTGTGTATGTGTGTGTATGTGTGTGTGTGGAGATGAACAACAAACAAGAACAGTTTTCTATGTCTCTCTCACCAGGGCACCTTGGAAACGGGTCTTATCCTGCCCTTTATGGCTTACGATACTCTGTCCTAATAAGAAACATGCGAGGATGATTAACCACTACCCCCATGCCCACACACACACACACACACACACACACACACTTATTCTGCCTGTTAGCAAATGTTCTTTTCACACACAGATCGGATAAATATGTGAAAATGACAGTATTTGTTTTTGTTTCATTTGGGATCTGTTATGACAGTCTGCATAAATAATGCATCTTCAGGAAACACTGAAATATTTACAGAACACATATTGGCAGGATCTGGCATTGGATGGCGAGTGTGTGTGTGCATGTGTGTGTGTGAGGTTGTTTCTTTTAACATTATTTCAGCTACGTACCGTGCCTTGAAGTGAGCCTGCCTTTAATGAGAGCTACTGCTTACAGAGGCAGACAAGCTTTAGTTCGCGTTCCCAGAGGCATTATCAGTTATTGACAGCTGGTGAATGCGGCACTCAATTTAAGTAGACTATCCTGTCAGGCTGGCATTTGATGGACAGTTTAGAGACTCTAGGGTTGTATAAAGCCTACCTTACATTACAATATTTATCTTATTGTTGGTAAAAAGTTAAAAGGACTCAGCAATGAAACTGAGGGACTTTTGAACATGAAACGTTTTTTTTTCTACTGTGCTGAATTTAGACATTGAGAAATTAATGAAAGTATTCTTAATCTGATTGATTTTTTTGTACTTTATGGACAAAAACTTACCTTCCAAACTAAATAAGATATATATAATATCTTTATAATACTTCTAATACGCAATCTTAATTGATCAAAATAAATAATGTGATAAAAAGCATAAATGTAAAAAAGAATAAAAGAACAATTACGGAAACAATCACGGTAAGAATAAAGTAGCTAGATAGAAGGATTAAAGAAACTGACAATAAAATAAGCCCCAAAAGCGAATGGTGTGGAGCCCCCGCATGTAATGTCTGCTGATGATGATTTTGCAGTTTGTAACATGTGCTTTCTGTTTGTTTTTTAATCTCCCAACCCAATCCGAGATAACCCTGTTGACATTATCTGGGTTATTTTTTCAGACTTTCGAAAGCTCCCCCCAGAGAAACATTAAACATCATACAACCGTATTGCCAGGCTGAGCAGTAGGCCTACTCCTCTTAACAAGTATACTAACCTTTGTAGGTGAAATGGGTGGATTGCCCCTTTAATAGCCTCCATTCTTTTAGGATTACCACCTACTCAGCAACAGTGAGGTTGGCCACTGGTGTCACAAAGGTGAGGGATGGTGTTGAGGTTGGGATTCAAGTCAAGTTCTTCCATACATTTATTTTTTGGCCATTACCTTGAGCATGGGGTAATTGTAACTCTGGGCATTTTTGAAAAACGTTGGGTGGCTTAGAGGTACTTTGCAGAAGACAAGGGTTTATGGCGAGGTCACTCAAGAAAAGTTTGAATCACTTCAAAAGTACCTGTGGCCAAACACCAAAATGCCCTTCAGACTAAACAAACTTCAAAGGGATAATATCGAGACAGGTGCAGAATGCGCCAGGAGGGAAACTGACAACAGCTGCTAGACCGAGGCAGTAAATATATAGGCAGTCTTAATCTGGCTTTCATATAATACCACAAAATATTTCTTTAGGGCAGTAGTGAATCCATGGTACCCAATAAGGAGTGGCTAATGCTTTAATCTCCTGCAGCATATAGACACATATTTTCTCTTTAAATATTTTTTCCTATAGTTTTTTAAAGTTTTGCTGTGATTGCTTACATTGTGTGTCTTCTTGTCTTCCCTGTCCTGGTGTGAATTGTTGGGTCTCTGTACAAGGAGTACGGTCTAGACCTATGTGAAAAGTGCAGTGAGATCTCCACTTCATAACACAACGTATTAATGTTATGAATTGGCGCTGTATAAATAAAATTGAATTGGTTGATGTGATGGCAGAAAAGTGTTTTCTCTTTTTCTTCTAACCTTTCATTCAAGTAATAGAAGAAAATAATAGTTTTCATAAAAGATTAAAAAGAGATCATTTTCTGCCATCACAGGTGACACAACTGATTCACTAACAGTGTAGATGTGGGTTTGAAACTGACAAACTTCATTATAAACCTTGTTACTAAACTGCATGAGTAAAACGATTTGAATCATTTGTGAATTTGTCTGATAAAGACAGGTTATGGGTTAACATACACATGTCACACATGGTATATTTTTTTTTTCTCCATCTACACGCATGCTCAGTGTCTCCGTTCATCTGATTCACATCAGCAGCAGCGCTTGAGATCAAGCAGTCCGACAGCACATGGATCCCCAGTGAGACGAGCGGGCGCTGCGGCCAGCGGGTAAGACTGAAGTCCTTCAGCGGTTGTAAACTCGGTTAGAGTGAAACGAGGAGGCTGCAGTTGTTGAGAGAAACACGAGAAACGGAGTCGCTGTAGATGAAGTGCGATAGAGAAAAGTGTGAAATGACCGAGGCTGCATGGCCGCGATGAGTCACTGGTGTCCAGTGCTGGCGGTTAGTTTGTGTCTGTGCCATGCCTTCTGGTTCTGGGTGTTTTGAAAAGGATATGTGACCAATCATATCAGAATCTGACGTTTTCCCGTTTTATTGCGAGCTATTGGCATAAAAAAAGCAAATGTGAAGCCAAATCATTACTGTGGGGCAAAGAAAGCCTGTTGTTGTGTTTTAGGGTTCAATTAGACAAATACAATGCTAGAATTTACATTTTCTACTGGGCTCCATCTGGATTTAACTGACCCGTGAGTCAGGAGGAAAGTTAGGGAAAACTTTCTAGTACCATGGACAGCGCTCATCTTAATTAGCTCAAATGGGACAGAATAATGTACAGTATGTTCATTCTGCAGCGTAGGATACAGTGCCAAGGGGGGGGGGGGGTCTGAAAACCATTTGTAAGCCATATGAGAAAATAATAAATAAATGGCCTAAATCACAGTAGTGGACCTATTCAAGATTATTGAGTTTGGTAATGCACTTTAGAACTTAATCCATCATAAAGCCCACACAATATACTCTATACTTAAGTAAAAGTACAGCAAAGTATTATCAGCACAATGTACTTTAAGTATCAAACAAACAGTATTAATTTAGCAGAATAAGTGTCACATCGGGGGATTATATCTGCCATTGGATTGTTAATACTAATACATCATGATTAATGGGGATTTATTTGATTTGGTGGTAGATTATTGTACATTTATATGTACATTTTGCCTCTTTAGTCCTCCAACAGAAATTAAACCTTTATAGATGTTTTTGTAATGTAATGTTATGTAATGTCTCTTTGGTGGAAGTGCCAACAACTCATACACATCTGACACATGACTGGCATTGAGCCACAGCTAAACACTGCTTTTTTAACAGATGAGTGAGTGGAATAAAATATTTCTTTACCAAAGCAAAGCTTTAAAATTGTACTAATGTTGTAATGTATTGAGTTACAGTTGCGGTCAGAAGTTTACATACACTCATCATGGACATGAATGTCATGGCAATATTGGGCTTTGAATAATTTCTTTGAACTGTTCTTTTTGCTGGGCTAAAATGATTTTACAACATACATATTTAACCCCTGAGGTCGAAAATAAGGGGAAAATAGGTTTTAATTAATTTGAGGTTTTCTGTAATCAACACAGGGCCAAAATTATACATACACTTACATTTTTAATTCAGTGGTGCTGGAAGTTCCAAAATGTCCTTTAATTTGCCAAGACAAAGGCCTCTTAACTTAACTCAACTAGTGATCATGATTGACTACAGATGGTAGCTGCTCTGTGCCCACATAAAAAAGAGTTTGTTTGACAGCATTTATTGGATTGATTAATCAAATGGTAAAGTCCAAGGAGCTCAGTGACGATCTGGATAAGAGGATGGTAGATTGACACAAGTCAGGAAAGTCTCTTGAAGCCATTTCTAAACAAATGCAGATTCAAAGATCATCAGTTCAAACAATTGCACATAAGTACAAGTTATTGGGAGGTGTAGCCATTTTGCCAAGGTCTGGAAAAAATACGAACTGAAAGCTGTCTACAGTACAGCAAGTTTTACATTGCCATGGACTAAAAGGCTGCCGTCCAAGAAAGAAGCCCCTGCTCCAAAATGTCCAAAAACTGTTTGGCCACAATGACCATTTTCTTGTTTATTTTCTGTTAAATATGTATGTTGTACAATCTTTCTGCCCCAGAACAGAAAACAGCTCTAAGAAGTCATTGAAAGCCCAATATTGCCATGACATTCATGTTCATGATGAGTGTATTTAAACTTCTGACTGCAATTGTATTTAAAAGCACAATTAGAAAGGAAGTCATGAAGTTTTTCATTGAAGTTATTATTCATTCACTCTCCCGCCTCCTTTTTTCTGCAAATTCACACTTCTAATGATGTTGACATCCACCATGAATAAAACTAGAAAGGTCAGAGCAAGCTAAGCCAGACAAAATTTAATGGGATGTCAATACTATAAAAATTAGGTTTTAAGTTGATGAAGTCTGGCCACACTCTGCATTCTTGTTTGAAGACAATGTAATGCTTTGTAAATGCTGTTTCTAAAAGCTTTACTCAATAACGTAAAAGCACTTAAAATCACAGGTAATTTAGAGCTCATTCATTCTATTTATCTGTTGGAATAAGCTTTCTTCAGCTTGGTGCTACTACACACAGGTTATTTTGTTAAAGAATAAGAAGTTTACTTTCTTGTGTTTTGTTATTTTTGTTTATATCCCCGCAATTTCGGGTTACAAGGAGACCTGGGCATGTAAACGCAAATCACATGGTCTCACAAACAGCTTGTTTAATTGGACAGAATTTGGTGTCTGGTATGTTGCCATGGTGCATGGTACAAAGCTAAGATTACCTGAGCAGCACATTCTCCTTCAGAGAATTTCAGGGTTATGTTTCAAATTGCAGTCAGGTTAAACGTACTGTATAGGACAGACTGAGATCAGGCATGTGTAGCCGCTTAGAGAAGCAATTTGAAGGCAGAGAATGAAAGAAATCAATCAACCAGCCTCAGGAGAATAACAACAGAGGGACCTGTGTGCATATGAGGAAGAAATGTGTGCATGGACTTGCAGTTGTATGACTCATCCGTGGGTGGTAATAGAGCCATCTCGGGGCCACGGTAGCCGTCAGTCGTTCACATGCAGAAACAACAACTGGGGCAACCTGACAACACAGGCCAAGATTTATAGAGAAGCGGGCTTTTATTAAGGGAAATCCATATTCAGCAGATAAACAGTGTTTGTGTTACAACATCCGAGCAGCTGACATGTACACATATGAATCTGGACTCCAAATATGTAATACCCACAGTGTGAATCTGTATCTTTTACTGTAGGTGTACAAGGTGTGTAAGGTGTGATGGCGCTGTGCCCTGAGGCCTGTGTCTCTGGCTCAGGAGGAGAATCCTCCGGCAGTGAGGTGAGCCTCAGTTTCCCTGGGTTCAGTGTAATTTAAAAGAAGAAAAAATGTACAACAATAGATGTACAAAGGACATCTACTGTAATTTGCTTTGGAAATGCTTTGGATAAAATTTCACTTGGAATATTTTGTATGTACACAGTACCAGTGAAATACTTAGTACACTGTACTTAGAATGTAAAAGGAGTGAACAAGGTGAATTTTCATTTTATAGACTACATACCCCAGACTTACCGTATAATAAGGGAGCCGTTTGGCCATTTGTACCATCACTTAGGTAACGGTCATTATCTCAGCTGGTAATGACATAAAAGCTATTCAAGGTTTTTCTCTAACATCTGTTTTGATTGTTAGACAGATCCAACATTGGATCTCAAAACTAAGAAAATATTTTGTATGTCATTATTAAATTAAAACAAATTATACCACAACTAATTTCATCAATTAGCCTCAAGTTGCACCTCTCATGTATTAACATTAGCATTACATTAGAGTCACAGAGCTAAGCATCCATTTCTCTGAAAGATAAATACCCAAAGAAAAACCCAGAAGGTCATTTAACAATTAAAAGAATATTCTGTCCTCTGCATGATAAAAACATTTTTTTCCAGAGTCTTTAAGGATTCTGAAAATACATTCAGAACAGCAGTAAATATTGTTATTTTAGTGTTTTATTGATACCCCATATATACTAAATAATTAAATTATATTTTGCAGGCTGTAATCTGAAGTATTAACTAGGCTTTCTTCAAACGTGAAGGAGAGATGCAGGCAGATGTAATGACTTTGGAATTTGATCCCTTTGGGTGCAACATCCTTCTAGGCGGGGTCTAGCTGTCTTCAGTTCGGGGTTCGTTCCTATCTGCACCACTTCTACGAGGAGTGCTCGTCCTCCATGTGGGAGAGAGACCCGGAGGATCGGGGGTTCGTCCAGAGCCAGAGGTCAAACTTGTGGTGGAACTCAGCAGTCTGGAAGGTAAAGCAACTACAGGCTCCATTCTGTTTACATTGCTCACCATCATAAAAACCTTTCAGATCACTGTCTTTCAATTAAGAGCTTGAAAAAAGTTTTCAAAAGCAGGAGAGCCTTGGAGAAAGTAGTGGAGAAAGTAAGGAATAACAGTTTACAAACATTTCATTAAATACGTTGTTCAAATCAAGCCAAACTAACATGGTATTTTATTTAATTTGAAAACATGGCCATCACCATTACAAGCTATAAAAAATCTAGCATTTTATCATGTTATTCCCACCCTGACTTGAAGGAAAAGTGCATAAAACTTTTAACCTTTGGTTGAGTTTAGGATATTTGGGGTTTTCTCTAAATCTTCTTATAGCACATTTACAGGTTTAAATACTTATTATATAATATTGATTATATTATAGTAATATTATATTATAGTGCACTCTATAGATATTAACATAACATTGTTTTTATTGTCCCAAATAATCATCTTTAAACAAAAGCTGCTCTGCATATTATGTTCACTCCCTTGGACTGTAACTATAGTGATGTTACTATGACTGACTGACTTGAACTGGATCCATCATTAGTCCCTTCCATGGTAACGGGACCAATCAATTCAATTGATTAAGTTCTATTTTGAGACTTACTGCAATGGGCTTCACCAATGTGATAACTTGCTCTGATATACTCATGTAATATAGTGCATGCAGTGCATTAGAAAGTTGTCTCTGCATGATAAACTGCAAGCAGTGGTGTGGTGGTATTTGTAAAGGTGAGGGATTGCATGTGAGCCCCCTACCAATTTGGCAATTTGTATTTTTTTTCTGCATCACAAACAACAAAATGACCTTTCCTAACAAGAAGTGAAGAGCACTGAGCAAAGAGTGTACCCTATAGGAAAAAAAGAGCAGGATTGCACAAATTACCACTTGTTTCTATCTCTGTCTCACTATCACTTCAGGTGTCCTTGGCCCTGGGTCTCCTCATCCTGACTGCAGGTATTGCCAGCCTCTCAGTCGGTTACTCCACTCCCCATAAAATTGAGTCATTCGGAGAGGGAGACCTGTTCTTTGTGGACCCCAGGGCCGTCAGCTTCAACAGGGGGTTGCACCTCAGCACTGCTGCCGGGATCGGGCTCTCCTGTCTTGGTTCGGCCCTGGCGGCAATGGGGGCTGTCGTTTGGATCCTCCCCCGGGCCAACTTGAAAGAGAGGCTGTTCCACAGACCGGGGGAAGGAGGACGTAGAGGAGAGGCTGGCTCAAAGTGGAGGGGATTCAGGTTTCCAGGGGATGTGGTCACTAAGCCGCCAGGTATAGAGGAAGGGAAGGTACCTGTCACACTGTCGAAAGTGGAAAATGTGCAGCCCGCTTCTTAAAAAAAGATCATTGCTGAGCTACATGATGTAAAAGCTATTGTTCTAGTTCTGGGGCCTCATTTACCTGGTCTTATTATTGTTTTGGATCTGTTTTAGCATGCAAATTGTTCAAATGGAGGTTTTGTGACCTGGATATCACAGTTAGAGATATAACGGTCTCTACAAGATTTAAAATGGCGAGGATCCGCTCAACGATGCAAAATTAATATGTCTGATTGTTCCATGTGGAGTTCAGCTTTGGTGAAATTTGTCAGACAAATCTGGGCCGTTGACCAATTGCAAGCCATCTTGACAGAGCTGACTTTTGAGGGGACAGAGAGCCGGAGTGTCTAAGATAGCGAATGTCACATTGTGGTGTGACTGCCACTTAAGATATAGACGAGGTGCTTTAAACACAGGATTTAAAAACACAACTTGATCTGAAGAGATAATACATTTTTGTAAATCCAAATTCAAATCTGTAAATGAGGCCCCAAGACTCGTGACCTTGTGTCTCTCTGAAACACCTCACACTACAGGATAGGGATATAGTTGTTGACCACAGACTGTGTTGTGCAGTGCTCTAGTCTTATATTTTAAAAATACAGTGAGTAATGTCCACTTCAACTCTCAAAGAGAACAGAATCCTAATGACTGATGGTAGAAAATGATAATGTTTTTACCTCCCCCTTTGATAGTGTTGTATTTTTGCTCAAAATGTTTTATCAATATTTTTTTTAAAAGTACTAGTAATAAGACAAGGTGTTGATACTGCATGAATCACATAGAAAACACAATGTTCTCATTCATACATACATACACACGGATCACAGGACATTCAGGAAGGTGTTCACATGTAGAAAGGATCATTAACTATTCTGTATCTACATGTTCACATTCCTCCACTAATGCTCAGCCCACTGAGTTCAACACATGTACAGTCACTTGCACTCATCCCCCACACACCCACACAAGTACGAATTCGTGCTCCATTGACAATATCACCTATTTTCTCCCCACTGTAATCTGGCTGCGTAATTGCCGCCAATCTGTGTCTCCAGGCAACAGTTGGACTTCAAGAGCTCTATTTTCAACTCTGAACAAAGACTCTGCCCTGATTGGAGCAGCACCTCCCCTGTCTTTATTTTCACACCAATCAGATTTTTTTGTGTGTGTTTACGGGCATAATGTTCACAGTAGTGGCGTAGTAGGAGAGGTGGATGAATCTGCTTAGAGGCTACTTTGTTCATCCAGTTTAGAGTCAGAAAATTGTCCTGATTGGATTCCACTGGATGTTATTGTTGATGTTTCATTGTTTCATTGTGTTATTGGCTATGATGGAGATAATGGAAAGAAATGACCATCGTGTCACTAGTGCAAAATAAATGACCCAAATAAACATCTGATCTGCATATTTGAATGTGTAAGGCTTTGTTAGTGTTTGGTTCCATTTTATAAATCTGTCCCACCATGGCAAGAATATGAACCTATTATAACCAACACTAAGGAATAGGTTTGATATTCATCCTCAATGAAATGGTTTCTTTGTAATGAAAATAGAAAGGGTTACCTGTGGGGCTGAGGAATAACACCCAAGTCCGAAGGCTCATTCAGCTTTAGGGTGCTTTAAGCTACTTTTACTTGATTGTTTAATTGATTTAATTTATATGCATACTGTTATTTTTTAGTTTTTATGCTCCCTCTTGGGTAAAAAGTGCATAATGCAGCTTAAACACTTTTCAAGACTATTAGAACTGCTAGCATGCTGGTGCTAGCGGCTCTCTGGCTTAGGATGACCAGACAGTCCTCGGTTTTGGTGGCCTGTCCCCGTCTGGAGTTGTATAAGGTGTATAGACTGTATAAGGTATTAACAGACCTGATTGCCGTCAACGAGAGCGTGCAGCATGTTAAAGCTATATCGCCCAGTCTCTTCACATCTACAGCTGCTTATATCTGGATCAAACTGACATAACGTGAATGAACATCATTTTATGTCCATGGTAACAGCAAAGGTATGTCTTTGTGATACTTTAACGTTTCTTTTAACGGAATAGTCACAATTGTGGCCAATAAGTCACAATCCTTTTTACCTGTTGAAATACCTTTAAATGGCCTAAACAACACATGTAATGCATTATTTAACTTGAAGTGATTGCAGCCTCTACTTATTGACTGAAAGGTCGATTCTGCCTCAAAATTACTTTTCATTCAGAAGAGTTATATTTGACAGATTATAAAACCAAAATTGTCCAGCTTTTTTATTTCATATATAATAACATTATATTTTTTAATGACGTACTGACCACCAAACCAAAAATGTCCCTGGATTTAATTTCAGAAATCTGGTCATGTTACTCTGGCTCTACTTAAGGACAACAGTTGTGTGAGCTAAATGCTAATGTCCTCACAATGACAATGTTACAGTTTTTTACAACTGCTTACACACTAAATCTTGACATGTCACACGATTTTTGAAACCTCTCACTCAAAGAGCAAAAGCTTACCTCAAATCTCCAAAACCATTAGCCATTTTTCAGCCTTTAACTCAGTTAAAGTTCCGTTTATCGGAAGGTCGGCGGTTCAACCCCAAATTGCCCCTGGTGGCTGTTCCACCAGTGTATGAATGTGTGTGAATGTTACTTTCTGTTTGAGCACTTAGACTCAGTGTGTGAATGCAATGTAGTGTAGAAGCGCTTTGAGTGGTTGAAAAGACTAGAACGGCGCTATACAAATACGGAGCATTTAGACCTGCTTTCCTTTTCCAAACACAAGCAATCAAAATGCTACACTTATTCACCAGGTCACACACCCACTCCTCACATGTGCAAACACTAATTGCTTAACTGATCCCTAACCAATCACTGCTTTAGTATAGGCCTATATTCAGGTCAAAGGTCAGATTACCTGTTTTGAACAATCGATGCCAACATTGGACAGAGAGCAAGGGGAGTAGGAGTTAGAGGTAGGAGACGACAACGAGGACGTTCAAGGAGGAAGAAGAAGAGGACGAGTTGGAAGAGGACGAAGTCAAAGAAGAGAAGGAAGGAGAGCGGTCTCTGATGAGATTGGGGCCACACTAATTGATCATGTGATCAACCATGGGTGGACCATGAGAGAAGCTGGATTGAGTCGCTTTACAGTGGCGTCCATAATTCAAACCTTCAGAAATGAGAACAGGTATGCAGGTATGACTTTATCGATGTATGTATGCAACACTTCTTCCAGTCCTTCAAACACATACCATATGTACTAATCTGTATATTCTTTTGTCTGTTACAGAGAATAATGGAGATGGATGCCCGTGTAATTCGTCCTGAATATTTTTATGTGGATGAGGTTGGCTTCAACCTCACCAAATCCAGGCGCAGGGAAAGAAATGTAATCGGACAGAGGGCAATTATCAATGTCCCTGAACAGCGTGGGGGAAATATAACTATGTGTGCTGCCATCGCTCAGAACGGTGTCCTCCATCACCATGCAACACCGCCCACATGCTCACTTTTCTGGATGCAATTCACACCATGCAACAACAAATCTAGCAGGGTCCGGATTTGAGTCTGGGACAACCAGACTCAAATCCGGACCCTGCTAGATTTGTTGTTATATGGGACAATGTCAGTTTTCATCGGGCTGTTCTGGTCCAAAACTGGTTTGCCACCCATCCAAAGTTTGTAATTGTGTACCTACCCCCATATTCACCGTTTCTAAATCCCATAGAGCAATTCTTCTCAGCCTGGTGCCGGAAAGTGTACGATCGCCAACCCTATGCCCGCATGCCGCTTCTCCAGGCAATGGAGGAAGCATGTGGGGACATTGAGGCTGCCTCTGTCCAAGGTTGGATATGCCTTGATAGAAGATACTTCCCTCGCTGTTTAGCAAGAGAAAATATATCTTGTGATGTGGATGAAGTATTGCAGCCAGACGCAGCCCGAAGGAGAGGTGAGATGAGAGATGAAGCTTAGCACTTGAGATCTTCTCCCCCAACACCAAGCATTGCCTGTTAGCAATGGTGAAAATCTGCATCCAAGATCTGTGAAGAGGACGTGAGCCACCTCTTCCATTGGCAGAAGATCAGGAAGGTTCCTGGCCCCAACGGTGTGTCTCCCTACAGCCTGAAAATCTGCCCAGACCAGCTAGCCCCAGTCTTCACACAGATCTTCAACAGATCACTGGAGCTGTGTGAAGTTCCCTCCTGCTTCAAACGCTCCACAATCATCCCAGTCCCCAATCACATCCAGCACCTGGACTATCAGCACTGGCGCCCCCCGGGGGTGTGTGCTCTCCACACTGCTCTTCTCCCTCTACACCAACGACTGCACCTCAGGAGACCCATCAGTCAAACTCCTGAAGTTCGCTGACGACACAACGGTCATCGGCCTCATCCGGGACGGTGACGAGTCGGCTAACAGACGGAAAGTTGATCAGCTGGCTCTCTGGTGCAGTCAGAGCAACCTGGTGCTTAACATGCTGAAAGCCCCCCCACTCTGCCCCCCATCACCATACTAAACAGCCCTGTGTCTGTTCTGGAATCCTTCAGGTTTCTGGGATCCACTGTTTCCCAAGACCTGAAGTGGGAGCCCAACACGGACATCATCATCAAGAAGGCCCAGCAGAGGATGTACTTCCTGCACCAGCTCAGGAAGCTCAACCTGCCCAAGGAGCTGCTGATCCACTTTTACACAGCCATCATCCAGTCTGTTTTCTGCACCTCCATCGTGGGCGGCTGTGGCTCAGGAGATAGAGCGGGTTGCCCGAAGGTCAGCAGTACAATCCCCAGCTCCTCCAGGCTGCGTGTCGAAGTGTCCTTGAGCAAGATACTGAACCTCCGAATTGCCGGCTTTTCCGCCATTCTATGAATGTGTGTGAATGTTAGCTTCTGTTTGAGCACTTAGGCTCAGTGTGTAAAAGTGCTTTGAGTGGTCAAAAAGACTAGAAAGGTGCTATACAGAGCATTTACATGGTCTGGTTTGGATCTGCCACCAAAAAGGACAGGACTGCAGAAAAGAAGCTCCCGGATGCAGAAAAGATCATCTTCAGGACCTATACATTTCCAGAGTCAGGAAACATCACTGCAGATCCATCTCACCATCTCTTCCAGCTTCTCCCCTCTGGTAGGCTACAGAGCACTGCGCCAAAACCAACAGTTTCTTCCCACAAGCTATCACTCTGATGAACAGCTGATTTCAGACTCACGGTGTCAGGTACAATTCCAGTAACTCTGTCTCTAATCGGCCACCTGTTTACTGGCTAACACTTATTATTTATTCACCATTCTCTATTTAAGTGCTGTTCATACTGTAATATTGTCATGTTGTATTTACTATATACCAATCCACCTACCTCAAGTCATTAATCCTGCACAAACTACTTATACTTATTTATTCCAGCATCCTTTGCACTGTGCTCCATCGCACTGTGTACATGTGTACATGTATGCGTGTATATGTACCTGTCAAATTCCTCGTATGTGTACACATACCTGGCAATAAAAGCTGATTCTGATAATACTTACTAATTAGTACTAAACATAGCTATGTCAGTAAGTGCAAGAAGAAACTTCCTCCCTCCACACACTTCCAGTAAGATTGGAGAGGCAGTGTCTGACAATTTCTGTAACTATTATCCACTTTTTTTCACCTATAAATAATTCAACACATAAACACGTCATACAAACTAGTTATTTTCTAGTATAACCCAACCCTCAGTTTTACAGGTATTTCGTAATAGGTTAAGGCACAGTATCAAACTAATTTAAATTCTGAGCTGATGATGGTGCTAGATGAAAAGTTAATAAAACCACCAAAGTTACTACAATGTATCCTGAGAGTGACATGAATGTCCAGATTTATTTCAATCGATACAATGGGTTGAGAAATTTCACTCAAAACAACAAGTTTGGCTCAAGAGGAAAATACAGGGGATCAGGTTTATTGTCTTTATGACTATCTGTACAAAACCATTGTAGATACAGATACTGCTCAGTTGTCAAATTAGTATATGTTATTAGGCTACATATAATAATCAGTATTATAGTGAGCTATGACTATGATAACTGAACAACTTCATCTTATGAAAAATGTATAAACAAGGTCCTTTAGTGTTATCTTAGTTCTCTTATTGGTTAAATTAGTTTTTGGGACATGCCAACTACCAACTACGACTTTTTAATCACTTAAGGTATTAAACTGCATACTTCAAAAGGTG